GAAGGAAGGACTTGGTGGGCAATGGTTAGGGAGACTGGGAATGGTTGGGTACAGTCACCTAAGGATGGACACTGCTGTGTAAGCTATACTAAGATTCTTAATAACCTGGGTTTCTGGTTACCAGAAATCTCTTGGGCCTTAGGAAACTCCCACACAGCATGTGATTGGAATATCCTAGCATCTGGCACTTTGGGACTTAAGAGATGGTTGATTTCACCCTGGCCTGCCATTCTAATCAGCGAATAAATCCAACCATCAGAGGAACAAGAAGTGTAGCCAAGATTGGTAGTCAGGGCTATAACTTATCCTCTCAATGCCTAGCATAGTGCCAGTTTATAAGAATTCCGCGTATTTTTGAATCAGATTTTTAGCTATTCATTTTAATTATCATTCTTTCTATTATTATTTCTACTGCTATGCATTCACTTGAAGGATTTTTTTTCAAAATATACACAAACTGCTTATTAGCTAATGGGTATACTAACACCATGACATAAGTAGTTGTATGGGAAATTTCACAGTATCTTGGTTGGTAATGATAACGTTTGAAATAGTCTTAAAATCCTAAATACGTGGTCTTTTTTTTTTTTGAGAGACAAAGGGTGAGCAGGGTGGGGAGAGGCAGAGGGAGAGAGAAAGAATCTTAAGCAGTCTCCATGCCCAATGTGGAGCCTGATGCAGGGCTTGATCTCACACCCTGAGATCATTACCTGAGCTGAAATCAAGAGTCGGATGCTTACCTAAGACACCTAGGTGCCCCATGTGCTCCATTTTTAAAAAAGAAATATAGAAAATGTCATTTCACTTTTTATTTTTAATAATTTATACCATGGCAACATTAGAATAAAGATTGCTTACAATTGTTTAAACAAAACTTTGCACTGGTCTTCTACAGAAAAAAATGCAATTAGATAACATTTTGAGAATTTCTATTTGTGATTTTCTAAATGTTGTGGTACAGTCTGTTCTTCATCTTTGGTACCCTCTTGTGGTCAGTGGAAGGGATTGGTTTGGCCTTCTTTGAACAATTATGTATAATTTCATGTTTTTTATCTGCATGGTTGACCTATAGTTTTTATAATTATTTGACTTTTTTTTTTTTTTTTGTTATATATAAATTTGGAGTAAAATTGACGCTTGGAGTTTCCCTCCCATTCCTTACTACCTTACTGGGTAAAGTGAGGGTGTGGCACAACCACAGTTGCTAATCTTTATTTTTTTTTTTTAAAGATTTTATTTATTTATTTGACAGAGACACAGCGAGAGAGGGAACACAAGCAGAGGGAGTGGGAGAGGGAGAAGCAGGCTTCCCGCTGAGCAGGGAGCCCGATGCGGGGCTCGATCCCAGGACCCTGGGATCATGACCTGAGCCAAAGGCAGACGCTTAACGACTGAGCCACCCAGGCGCCCCACAGTCGCTAATGTTAGAAGCTAAGATACAACATGACCTCTGTGCTTAGAGCAAATGTAGTGTCATTTAGAAAGTGAATTGATTGCAGACCCAGAACTTATCTTACACTTTTGCCAGCTAAAATTGGGTTTGGGGAATAATTTGCTATTTTGGATGATCTCCTTTAAAATTTTATAATACATATACTCACATACATACAAACATCACACATATATATGTACATATATATGACTTCATTTTAAATGATTACCTAGTTCAAATGTCCTTACTGTGATTTACAGAAAATGTAACACTATAATGTAGTCTCCTGTTTTTGAGTCATGCTGTGACAATAAGACGGGAATCATGTACAGCATTTAGTAAAGATTGATCGGTTATTTTTCCCTTCCATCTGCAGCATTTGTTTTAGAGCAGATTCTTAGCTTGATACCCAGAACATGTAACACAAAAGATAAGAGGTAGCTGTATGGAGCTAAGTTAGTAAGTCCAAATGAGACTTGGCTTACATGAAGAGTATATCATAGCTTTTGGGACAGATGTGAATTTCAGGGAGAAATGCTCTTTGTTTTCAAGACCATGCTTCCCCACATTATAGTTGTCCTTCATGTGGCCTACTCAGCTCTTTAATTTTATGCTAGATCTGAGTGTGTTTTTGTTTTCTACATCACTGGAATCTTTGAGTAGATCTTTTTTGCTGGCCTGGTGATGTGAAGCACCAGGGTTTGAATAAGAGTCCAGGAAGTGCACTGGGGATGATTTTTTTGTATTGCCAGGAATGCTGACATGTTGGCACTGAATTAATGTTTCCAAAAATGCCATCAAACGCTGCCCGAAAACAGAGATATTAGTGTTGTCACCACAGCTGTGTTCTTTGTGCCTTCAACCAGTTTCTTCTATGCATAGCAAGAAATTGTAAGTCCCCTAGCATAAGATGAAAGTGAGTGAGTTTTGTGTACTATACTATAATGTGACTGGTTGCCCCCCCAGTATTTGTGCACATGGGATTAAGTTAAGCTATTTGTGTGGAATTGTCCCTGGTATCATGGATATTGTTTTTTTGTTTTAAACAAATGGAGTATCTGTGAGGGACTATGGTGCCCAGATTATTACAGAGGAAGTATTTCACTTTTTCATTAAATATTTATTGATCACTCTCTCAAATACTCAGTTTTATAGAGGATAGGGTATATACATAAATTTCTCTGCTACACTGTCACCACTGAGCAAATGGTGAAATGTTCACCCAGGTATCTTGTTACAATGGTAGAGAGGACAAGGTCCTCCCATCCTGAACCTTGGACTTCTGTGCTTCCTTTTGGGTCTACTACTCCACATTTTGTAATGTGAGTCTCTCAGTAGACTTTTTAATGTGAATGCCACTCTTTATTTTTTTATTGTGTTTCTCCTAGTAGGACCACATTTTCTCCTTATGTAATGAAAATCCTTTGGAGATTCTGGCTTTTCTCATTTATAGGTCTAGTAGTTTAATTTACAAACTTTTGCAGTACAATCCTACTTGCTCTTCCCATTCAATGTAGTTTTATCAGTTAACTTTTTTCAAGTTCCATATTTGGAACTAGATCATGGTGGGTTAAAAACATCAGAGGTGCCAGTGGATCGAAATAGAATTACTTGGATCTATTAATCTCAATCTGGCAACCTCAGATAATGGGAAAGACAGGCCAGAGGCCTGCTTGTCTTCTCCCTTTCTCCTTTCCTCCCCTTTTCCTCCTGTCCCTCTATAAAATTATCCATCTATTTTTTTAAAAGATTTTATTTACTTATTTGAGAGAGAGAGAGCAGGAGATGGGGGAGGGTCAGAGGGAGAAGCAGGCTCCCTGCTGATGCAAGACTCGATCCAGGGACTCCAGTATCATGACCTGAGCTGAAGTCAGTCGCTTAACAAACTGAGCCACCCAGGCGCCCTATCCATCTATTTTCTTAAAATTTTTCTATTGATGGACAGCACAATGTCACATTACTTTCAGGTGTGCAACCTAGTGATTTGACAACTGTATACATTATGCTATGCTCACCTCAAATGTAGCCACCATCTGTCACCATACATCAGTGTTATAGGACCATTGACTATATACTGATGCTGTACCTTTCATCCCTGTGATTTAATTTATTCCATAACTGGAAGCCTGTTAGCTCTGACTCCCCCAAAGTATGGCACACTTCATGATTAGCCATACTAATCTTCTTTGTATTGTTCCAATTTTAGTATGTACTGCTGTTAAATGAGCACATATCTATCTCTAATTTTTTATTAAACTCTTTCAAATACTTAAGCAAATAATGAAATAAAGCAATATGCATAATAATCATCAAACTTGTTAAAAATAATAATTCCTGAATCTCTGGATAGGGGAAATAGGAATCTACCTTTTGAATAGGCTTAAAAATACTTGACTCTCATTAAAGTGGTCCAAGCATTGCACATCCAGAAACAATGAAATAAAAGCAAATAAGAGTGCTTCTTTGGCCAATGAAATTTATGAGTTTGATTGCCTAGTATTTATTTCATATGGACTCATAAATGGGAAAAAAAACTTACCTGGTTTGGGGGCGCCTGGGTGGCACCGTCGGTTGAGCATCCAACTCTTGGTTTTTGCTCAGGTCATGATCTCAGGGGTCATGAGATCAAGCCCTGTGTTGGTCTCTGTGCTCAGTGCAGAGTACTTGAGATTCTCTCTCCCTCTCCCTCTGCCCCTCCCACATGTGTTCTCTCTCTCTCTCTCAAACAAATAAATCTTAAAAAAACCCCAAAAAACAAAAAACAAAAAACAAAAACCTTACCTGGTGGATAACATATTTATAGTTGGAGAAGATTATATGCCCAGGCGGGTCTTATCCCCTTTAGGATTTTATTCCATTTGCATTTGTATAAGAGTGTGCCACAGGATAAAAGGTAAAGTTGTCCTCTTCCATAAAAGGCCAGCCTAGTTACAGTTTCCCTATAAAACAACACAATTTTAGGAATGAGCAAAGGTCAGCTATTGCAGTTATGGTGAGTTATGATAAAGATGTTGCTAATCTTTTTGGTTTGACTTTGAAACATCTTATTTAATTATTTCCTGCTACCACCTTTTAGAAGTCTGTTTTCCCCCATCAGGAATGAAGTGTTTGAAATATCAGGTACCTTTCTGTAGCTCGGTAATAATGATTTCTTGAAAAGAGTCTGTGTGAGCAATTTTCTAAACTGGTATTATATTAACTCATCGACACCACCAGAAAGCATAAATGAGACATTTTCTCTTGGTCCTATCTCAGACTTACTAGATCAGAATCTCCTGTTGAGAGTCAATTATAAAGTTCTCAGAGGGATTCTACTGTAGCCAGCCTGTCTCCTTCCATACTGTAGTTCCACGAACTTCTTTGAGAATATTTAAGTACATTTGAATACATATTTGAATACATATTCAAATGACTTGTTTCACATCCTTTTTCCTACTCCGTCAAGTTTTGTACATAGTTGGAGCTCACTAAATCTTTATTAAATTTTTGTATTGGACGTTTGATGGGAATGTTAAAAAATCAGTTTTATTCTCGAATTAGAATGTTTTGTTGTTTTGTCACCTTCTAGGATGGAAAGAAGAAGTTTGACAAGGAGAGTGAAAAGTACTATTCTATTCTTGATAAACATTTAAATTTGTCTGCAAAGAAAAAGGAATCTCATTTGCAAGAGGTAAGCTTTTCCACTTGAAATGTGAACAGGACATTAGCTTTAAGGCATGTGATGTCCAAATTTCCAAAGGTCGTAGTATCTCAGAATCTGCTACTCTATAATAAAATAATGATAATAAGAGTTAATTGAGTACTTAAAATGGACAGACACTGTGCTGAGCATTTCACATGCCTTATGACCCTTAATATTAACACTTCCAAGTAAAAGATTAGTTATTTCCTTCAATGATGAGAAAGAATGAGATAAGATTTTTTTCTTTTTTTTCTTATTGGGTATATTTTCAATGGCAGGACCTACCAAATTGATGGAATAGTTTTTTCTAATATCTGCTTTTAAGGTGTTGCTTTGCAGTAGGGGGAAAACAGACACACAATTACACATTTAAAAAATCTCTATTTTATATCAATTTTCTTAAAAAACAAGTCAACAGAAATATTTTAACCTCTGTGCATTTAAGCAGTCCATTTCTTCTTTTTTCTGAAATATTTATTCTCATTGGTAATTTTTGAGTATAACTAATAAAATTGAGTAGTCCTTTTACTAAGGCATAATACAGTTCCAGTACAGTGATGAGATACATTCATTTTTTTATTATGTTAATCACCATACATTACATCATTAGTTTTTGATGTAATGTTCCATGATTCATTGTTTGCGTATAACACCCAATGCTCCAGGCAGAACGTGCCCTCTTTAATACCCATCACCAGGCTAACCCATTCCCCCACTCCCCTCCCCTCTAGAACCCTCAGTTTGTTTCTAAGAGTCCATAGTCTTTCATGGTTCATCTCCCCCTCCGATTTCCCCCCTTCATTCTTCCCTTCCTGTTATCTTTTTTTTTTTTTTTTTAAGCATATAATGTATTATTTGTTTCAGAGGTACAGGTCTGTGATTCGACAGTCTTGCACAATTCACAGTGCTCACCATAGCACATACCCTCCCCAATGTCTATCACCCAGCCACCGCAGTGCTCCCACCCCCCACCACTCCAGCAACCCTTAGTTTGTTTCTTGAGATTAAGAATTCCTCATATCAGTGAGGTCATATGATACATGTCTTTCTTTGATTGACTTATTAAGATGTGGTATATATACACAATGGAATATTATGCAGCCATCAAAAGGAATGAAATCTTGCCATTTGCAACGACGTGGATAGAACTGGAGGGTATTATGCTGAGCGAAATAAGTCAATCAGAGATACATTAAAAAAAATATTGGACCCTCTTGTCATTATCATCTTAGCAGCAATAAAATCTCAAAGCACAATGCATGGACACTAAACCCAGCATAGTAGGGAGTGTTGAGCTAGTTCACCGGTGGCTCCTTACTGTTCTCCAGACCTTTGCAGGGAATCCTATACCACCACTCCAGTCTCTTCTTCCTCTTTTGTCTGTACTTCTAGGTATCACAGTTGAGTACCTCTTTCAAATGCCTCCTCTTAATCTTTCTAGCAAAGCCACAAACCTTACTGAACTGCTTATCAGCCTGGTTCTTTGCTCTCCTTCTTCCTTTTCTTATTTGCCTTACCTCCACATTTACCCACCAGGCACACTTGACAGGTTGGAGTTTGGATGCAGTGAACTGGAGTCAAAAGGCATGGGAGGGTTATTTTTACCTCTGTTTCCTTTTTTCTGTTCTCTTATGTTCTCATTGAGGGAACTGAATTTCTTCATTTAAAAACATTTTTTTTTAAAGTTTAATATTGGGAATATTTGTTACTTAAACATGTTCATTATAACTAATATCTTGTCATTAGCTCCTACTAGTGAAATATGATCTGTTAATATACCACTTATGCTGCGGGAAAGATTTTCTGGCTAAATTGAAAGGGAGAAAAAAGCTGTTGTTTAGAAAAATCATATTTGGAATTTTCATAGATGTATCTAATCTTATGAAGTACTATTTTGTAACTTAATGTTACGTTCACATGTTCCAAACTTCTTAAATGCTCATGTACCTCTTTGAGCATTATGCTACAACAAACCTAGGAGAGAATGAATTGTATAGATACAGTCACGTGAAGAAAGGCTCACCTAATTATCACCAATACACCACTATCTGCCATGCCAAGCGCTATGGCCAGGTGCCATTTTAAAAATTCACTGCCTTTAAATCAGTGGTGCTTTTTAGGGTCTCGAAAGGGTTATATGTTCTTCAGATTCTTGGTGAATGTGAGAGGCCACACTTAGACATTGCTTAATTTTAAAATCTTCTAGAGGCTATACTTCAGTTTTCCCTGAGAACCTAACTCTGTATTTAATATTAGCTTGTTAGTGGCCCTCAATCACTTAGGCTGTGATAGAAGAGAATATCTGTTCTGGTTTCTGTATTTAGTTGGAGCCTGGAAAAACCTATAATATGATTAGCAGCATCCTCTGCTTGCCCCACTACACACACATGCATGCATGCATGCACATACTTCTTTTCCAGGAGCCATAGCCCACAGTAGAACACAAATCGTGCTAGAGCATCTCTTCAGAGCACATAGTGTAGACAAGGAAAAAAATGTGCTTTTTTTTTCCCCCCTGCCCTTCCAGGGATCAAACCTGTTATAGGGAGATGCTGCCATACTTGTGTTTAATTCTGTAAGACCTGTTCCTTTCCAGAGCAGCTCTGGTAATTCTGTCAGCACCAAGCTTATTGTTTTCAGAAAGACTACTCTGTGCCTTCTCACCTGCACAGCTGGCTCCTCATTGCTTTGTTCATAGAAAATAAGTGGTTGCCCGTTTTCGGGACTGAATTAGGGGTCAGCTCATGTTGATAAAGCTACAAGGCCATCAGTTAGATGGGTCATTGCAGTAAGCAGAATTAGAAACAGACTTGTTAAGATTGTAGACTTTATAGTGAATGAAAATAAGTAATACTTGATGTGTAATTGGAAAATTTCTTTCTAAGTATGAAATAAGAGGAAAAAATCATAAAGGAAATGTAGAAAGACCAGAATGCATCGAAATAATCTTTATCTCAAAAGATATTAAATCAAATTAAAAGGTAAATGTTAGGGAATTTGTACAACATATGACACAGGATTACTATCTCCTATATACAAGTTGCATTTGCAAATCAGTGTGAAAAAGTCTTCAGTGCAAAAATATGAAGTAAGAATTGAAAAGAGCAGAAAATGGAGGGGAAGATGGAGGGCAGAATAGGAGGACCCTAGGCTTGCCTCATCCCATACCTATCAACTAGATAGGTATCAAATCATGCTAAATACCCAGAACTTGACCCAAAGACTTGCAGAACAAATTCCACAATTAAAGGTAGAGAAGAGGCCACATCAAAGAAGGTAGGAAGTACAGAGACAGTTTGGGAAAGAAATGGATCATGGCCATTGTGGTTGGGGTAGGGGGGTGCCATGGTCACAGAGAAGGGCAAGAGACAGACTAACACATGGGGGGAGCACACTGGAAAAACAAATCCCCATAGCAATTGGCTTGGAAATCGAGACAAGCTAAATTTTGAATTTCATAAGTCCCGGCAACCAGTGGGGCTTAAAGCCTGGAGTTCTAAAGCTAGGTCAGTAGGCTTGGCTGAGGGAGAGCCTGGAGGCATTGGGATTGCTCTTGGAGAGAAGGCAAGGCAAACAGCTTGTTGACAGTGTGGAAACAGTGATCTGAAGAGCACCTGGGGCACCCACTGAAGAGGTTATTTGCTCATCTCAGAATATGTGCCAACGAGGCAGCATTCACAAGGAAACCCCTCCAGAAACAAAGGAACTGGCAGGCACCATTTCCCTCCCCGGGCCTCGGCATAAGCACAGGGCCACATGTGGGAACCACTGCGCGGCAGACACTACCTACCTTTCTTACCCAAGCCCTGTCCCCCGCTCCCACTCCAGTGGAACCACCCTTCCCAGTCATGCTTGCCATGGTCCCAGAATGGCAGGCCCCCACCTGCAGAAGGTCAGCCAAAATCCCTGCCAACCCTCGTCTCCAGGTGCAGGAGTTTGGGGGAGCCTGGGTTCTGGTGGCAGTGGCAGTATGTCTCATTTCACATGCAGACGAAGAGCACACCTAATTGAAAGGCACCACATTCAGGCCAGGGACCAAACACTTTCCAGAACAGGCAAAGAGAGCATCTGCCGATGACTGGCCTAAAGGATAAAACAGCCAGGACACAACAGCAGAGCACATGCAGTACACATTGGAGACACTCCCAGAAGTGCCAGACCCTGGGAAATAGGGGACACTACAAGTAGGACACTACAGGACCTCTTCTTTATAAGGCCATTACCCTCAAGAACAGGAGATGTAACTGACTTTCCTAACACAGGCTCAGAAACTTAGACAAAATGAGAAGACAGAAGAATTTGTCCCAAATGAAAGCATAGGACAAGGCCATGGCCAGAGATCTAAGTGAAACAGATATCAGTAACATGGCTGATAGAGAATTTAGAGTCATGATCATAAAGATACTCACTGGACTTGGGAAAGGAGTGGAAGGCATCAGTGAGACCCTTAACACAGAGATAAGAAATAACATAGCAGAGATAAAGTCCTCAATAAACGAAATGAAAAACACACTTGATGGAATGAGCAGCAGGATGGAAGAAGCAGAGGAACAAATTAATGACCTAGAGGTCAGAGTAATGGAAAGTAATCAAGCGATTACTACAAAAAAGAGAAAAAAGAATTATGCAAAATGAGAATAGAGTTAGGGAACTTAGTGACTCCATCAAACATAATAATAGTATTATGGAAGTCACAGAAGAAGAGAGAAAAGAGGAGTCAGAAAATTTATTCAAAGTAATGATAGCTAAAAATTTCCCTGTCTGGGAAGGAAACAGATGCCCAGATCCAGGAGGCACAGAGAACCCCCAACAAAATCAACAAAAGCAGATCCACACCAAGACATATTGTGATAAAAATGGCAAATACAGTGATTAAAAAAAATAAATTTAAAGAAGCAAGAGAAAAGACAATTACATACAAGGGAAAACCCCCTGATTAAGGCTAATCATTGGATTTTTCAACAGAAACTTTCCAAACCAGAAGGGAG